TTCACACTGTCAAAGCAGAAAAGTTTGTTTTCATTTTTTGACACTCTCTCTCACCCCACATCTCACCTCTGCAACCCTAAGCAATTCTGAGCTGTCTGAACAGCTCAGATTTTGCACTGTTCCTTTTATGTGCCATTAGAAAATGAACTTCAAGTTGGACTGGAAACTGATCACAATCTTCATTGGAGGCAATGACCTGTGCCAGTACTGCTTGGACCCGGTAAGTGCTTGTAAACTGGGCACACAGCTCTGGGTGCTTGGCAAGAGAACTGTATCAGTCTGGTCCTTTCCTCTTTTTCAGACCACCAAAGCCATTAGATTAAAAGCCATTAGAACTGGTGTTCTCTACACGTGTCTTATTTGAAAGGATTATGCTGCTTTCAGAGTGTAGAATCATAGCTCCTGACCAGGACTTCCTTAGTATTATTCATTATTTAAGGGCTAGTGTTCTGTTCAGTATTGTACAAAACAGAAGATACATGGCCTCTGGCTGGAAGAGCTTGTGATCTAACTACACAAAGCAAGCTGGACAATGAGATGCCACATGTACATTGTTACCAAGATGCTCAGGGAGGCTGTGCACTGGAAGCTGACTCCATAAAAATGCCACCAGTGTTCTCCACGATTATTGCCTGCCAGTTGCACCAGATGAAATACTATCAGTTTACAGCTGTTGGCTTTTTCCAGCTGCCAACTCTCCAAGCTCCCCATGCTGATCTGAAAACTCTTTTTTCTTTTCATACATCATCCCCTCTGGTGAATGTTTTGCAACACATTCTGTGGGCCTGAACCGGCACTCACTGCAGTCAGTGGGAGTCAATCCATTGCCTTGCCACTCCACTGACTCTAGATTGCCCCGGTAACACAATTCCAATTGTATAGGCAATTGTATTGTGTAGGCCTCTCTCAGGCCTAACTTGGTTTGCAGAGCCAAATAGTTCTGGAGGTTCCTGGAGATGTTTAAGGGAAGAACACAGTTTGCCTCCTAAGTCTTAGGCTAACTTTCTACAGCAGGCTGTTAGAAAATACATACATATATATTCTAACAGCCTGCCCTAGAAAGTCAGCCTTGGACTTCATATATACTGTATAGCCATGTTCTGGCTCCAGTCCATCTCTGTATAGTATAGTATAGTATAGCATAGTATAGCATAGTGTAGAAAACATAAAACACACAGCACAGCGCAATGCAATGCAATGCAATGCAATGCAACACAACGCAACAGTCTGTGGGTAAAAAGGAGCATGCCAGAGTCCATTATCATGTGGAGCCCTGCAGTGTGATTTATGCAGGTGCTCGCCAGAGTCAACATTCACGTTAAAATAACTCTGTCAAGGACTTGCATAAAGCAGGAGATTTTGAATTGGGATTAAGGGAATGTATTAGTCACATGAAAACAGTACAGCAACTAGATAAGCTACACACAGGAGGCAATAGGAATAACACCCAATAACACTCTGATCCAAAAGTACAAGCTGTACAATCAGGTAGAAAAGCATTTGGTCAGGAGTGTGTGTGTGTTTGGAGACCTCCTTAGGAGCTGAAGGTTCTGTAATGGACCTTTTTGTTTTTCTTTTAAACGATAGTGTCTTGAACACTGGAGAAATAACTGATCGGGGTTTCTCTTTTATTTTCCCCCCACAGGAGACCTATTCAGTAGAAAAGTATGTCAGACACCTCCAGGACACTCTGGACATTCTTTACAAGGAGGTAAAGTCTGAAGTTACTCTTGCAGGCAAAGCTCTTGGCAAGCACAATTGGGTATTTCTCCTCTCTGACGCAGTATCTGTGATCACATTTCAATAGAGGTCTTCTTCCAGATAGCTACAGCCATAAAGCTAATGCTGAAACATCATCCAGTGACTATATTAGAAAAGGGCAGGCAAGTGAAAGCTTTAGCTTTGCTTTTTACAGGTTCCTCCCATGAAACAAACATGTAGCACAGCCCTACTCACAATCTTGACTCCTAAATCAAGTGGGCAATTTACTCTAGATCGATGGCTGCCAACCTCTACAAGCCATGGGCAGAACAACTCAGCTCTGGTCCAGCGAGGGCCAGGGAGCTTTGGTGACATGTCAGTGGCAGGAAGCTTTGCCTGCCCCCATACCAGGGCCAGGCAGCTGGGAACTGTCCCTGTACTGCTTCTCTCCAGTTCCCCCATTGCCCGGTTGCAGTATGAGTGCAGCTTCCAGCTTGTGGGGAGTTAGGCTGTGACCAGGCAGTTGCTCTCATGATGTTGTCACCATCCCCACCCTTACCCCCAGCTGTGGTGCAAGCACAACTAGAAGCTCGGCCCCAGTGCAGCTCCCCATTGACTGGAAGCTGTGCCCGTGCTGCAGCCTTGCGGGGAGGGAGTGGGGAGGTAGGGAAAAGCAGAAGTTGTGGGTGCAGCTTCCTGTTACCTGGCCCCAGCATAGCTCTTTATTAGCCTGGACATGGGTGAAGGCACAGGCAAATCCTTCCACATCTGTGGGCTGGATCCATGGTTCCACAGGCCAGATCCAGCCTAGGAGCTGTATGTTGCTGACCCTTCCTCTAGTTCAACTAGAACAGCTATGAGTAAGGGAGGGAGGGAACATGTCACCTCACCCAAAGTGGCAGCCATTACTTTGTTGGCTGACGTCTACTCTGTTTCCCCCTTGTGCACTGCTCTTGAATGCTGCCAGTGGCTCTTGGGATGGTATGTACTCACACGCTGACCTACAAGCTACCTCTCTGTCTGATTTTGTAACTGCTACCTGTTCTGTGCATTAGCATAACCAGTTTCCATGATCCCTGCAGCTCCCTCGAGCCTTTGTCAACTTGGTGGAGATAATGGAGATCTCAGGTCTGCGTCAGATAGAAAGAGATGCCTCAGGGTGCGTGCCCCCAGGGAGGTAAGTGAGCAAATCAAACATCCATCTCACTGAACGTTATTTTTAAGGGTAATCTATACAGGTCAGTTGCATCATACGTGCATTTAACTGCATGAATTCAACTATATGTGGGGTGGGAGGGGGGGCGGGGCTTGAGTTTACCTGGAGGCCCATTATGGCAGTGATGGCCACTGCCTCCAAAACTTCCCGCTGTTGCCATGGAGCTGTACCCGGAGCTGTGTGGCCAGCCGCTGGGCGGCAGTGGCAGTGTGGTGGGGGGCGGGGGGCGTGGCGCCCACCCCGCGCTGCGCTGCTGCTGCCAGCTGCACAGCTCTAAGCACGGCTCTGCGGTGGTGGCGGGAGGTTTTGGAAGCAGAGGCAGTCACCGCTAGTCAAATCGCTGGCACGGTAATATGCGATTTGACTATACACGATTTTCACCTTACGTGGGGGTTAGGTTCTGAAGCACTGACTTCAGAACCTAACCCCCGTGTAAGATGCTACTGACCTGTATTACTATGATCAATGAGGTACCCACACAAGGTTTAAAAGCCTCCTTCCTGTTGGACATTTTTCAATCTGGGAACCATTTTACAGTAAATACCAAGATGCAGCAGTCATAAGGAGAGTACTGAATCCCGTTCTTTAGTCGCTTACATATATGCAACTCCCATTGACGTCAATGAAAGTTGGACCCATCTAAGTGATAGCGGCATAGTTTATTTCTGTTTGTTCATTTATATAATTAGATTTGGGCCTAAGCCACAAAGTATGAAACTATATCCGAACTCCACCGACGTCTAGGAACATTTGGAACTGGAGTTCTGGCTCCAGTCCATTTCCATATAACATTTTATTTTGATAGAAGTTAGTCTCAGTCCAGGAAATCATCCAAGACCTAATGTTGCCTAGCTCTCAGTATCAGGCAGGGTAGCACCTCCAAAACTAACTGGTTCAGAGTGGTGTAGGATTTTATAGGCAACAGCCTACTTTGCCAAATGCTATTATACCACACTGCCCTGCCTTCTGCCTGACTTCAGACTAACGCAGCTAACTACCTCTCTCTTGCAGAATGCGAATAGTCCCACTGATGTCAAGATTACTTCTTGTGCTTAAAATTAAGCATGTGCTTAAGTGGATTAGAGATTGAGGAAATGAGACTGTTCAATAACTGTTTATAAAGGCAAAATATGGTAACCGATCTAAAAGTAGGTGTGTCTGACTCACGATCACTAATCTATCCCAGACAGGAACACAGGACTAGAAGAGATTGTTCTGGGTCATGAATCTAATCCCCAGCTAGGATATGCAACCATATTGTGTAACACTTTTCTTAAAATTACTGAGCTCCAGCCTAAAACTAGATTTTTGACCCCACTTCTCTGGAAAGACTGTTCCAGAATATCATTAGTCTGATTATTGGAAGGAGTCTCCTCACTTCCAACTTAAATTTATTCATGGTCAATTTATACCTGTGTGCCAGTGCTCTCCCTATAGCTTGAAAAGTTCTTTTCCCTCCCCATTGATATAGTTATAGAGAATAATTGTATTCCCTCTGAGTCCTTATTTTAAGATAAATAAACCAAACTCTTTTAGTCTTCAGTTATATGTTCCCCTGAGTGTCCTAGTCACTGTTTTCTGCACTTGTTACACTTCTAATTCATTCTTCTTGAAAGTGGGTGATAGAATTGTGTAAAGTATGTCAAATGAGGGCCTGTTACTATGTTACACCATGGAATTAATACTTACCTTATCCCCACTGGAAATACATCTCCTAGTACATACTAAGATCTTACTTCCCTTTGTCACAGCTGCATTATGGTGCCTCATAGTCTTCCCATACTTGACGAGTGGATTCAGGTTTGCTTCCCCCTCACTTCCTTCTAAATGATGAACTTTCAGGTTATAACAGGAATGTCTGTCAATGGTCTCTAAGCTTTTGATCTTATATTGCTGAATTTTGTCCCACTTCTTGTTCTCCAGTTGGCAAGTTCTTCCTGTATGATACCGTAATACCCCCTGTGATGTTGAAGCCTCCTTCTTTGTGTCATCTATCAGTTCACTCCTCCTTTTGTGCTGGTCATTAATGAAAATATTAAATAAAACCAGTCCCAAGACTGATCCTTGAGGGATGCCTCTAATACAGAGTTCCCAAACTCTGACAGATTGCGTACCACCAACTTAAAACAATACAACCTTAAGTACCACCAGCAAATTTTTGCCATATAAAGTAATTATAATAAATCTCTTAATGTGTACCACCGACAGGGTGTCTGCATACCACTGGTGGTATCCATACCACAGATTGGGAACCGCTGCTCTAATAACTTCCCTTTGGCCCAGCATCAACCCTTTCACCATCACCTGTTATTGTTCTGTTCCCTTTCTCCAGCTCTTTAACCTCTTTAACCTTCCAGTTCTCAAACTGACCCCCTTCTTCATTATAATCATCACCACCTTAGCCCATAGTTTCTCATGTGGCCCTGTATCAGATGTATTCATGATAGATTAGATCTGTACCATTCCTGTGTCTAGATCATCTGCCATCTTTTCACAGAAAAAAATATCAAATTAGACTGGCACAATCTACCTCTGGTAAATGTGGCATTTTATCTCACTTTCTATTTACCTCCAGGTGTTTAGTTATTTTTGAAGAAAATTCATTTAATGTGGTTGGGTGGGTGGGAAGTGACTCCTAATTTTATCCCCTCTGACATGGCTATTCATGGTAAGCCTTGAATGCTGTTCAGATCAGAATGATAGGCCTGTAGTTGTCTGAATCACTTTTCTTACCCCCTAGCCCTTTCCTAAATTTGGGATACTACACCTGCTATTCTCCAGTCATAGGGAACCACTTCCAACTTGATAAACTGATTAAAAAATACTCACTTCCAGACTTGAAATGTCACATGTCACTTTTTTAAGAATTCTGGGATGGAGGCTGTCTGGTCGCCCCCACCTTCAGCCTAAATGTGTTAAGCACTTAAGTCTATGGATAAATATGCATTTAAACAGATTTAAAACAGGAGGGAGAGTTCCCATTGTATGTGAGCATTCACTATTACTAAATAACTGTTACAGCTACATGCTCCTGTAGAGATATACAAGTGGACTAAACTGCTGTAATTTTAACCGTGAATGAAACAAGGTCAAAGTTGCATTGGTCTTGCTACACTTCTATGCAGAAGCTTACAGATGTAGTAATTACATCATAAAAGATTGTAGCAATATTATTTTATTTCAATCTAGTTGTTATATCTGTCTATACCATTAGAATTTTGCTTCCTTCTTGGTTGTGATCATTTCCATTCCATACTCTCCATTCCCATTTGCTTCTGTCATCATGTTCAACATCCCTGTCCTTGTAGCAAACTGAGGCAAAGCATTCATTTACTTAGATCTATCCTGTCTTCTCTGCCTGCAGCAGTCTCTTTTTCTTTCCTTGCTTTTGTTTGTTTATAGTGCTACAGAAACATTTACTATTTGTTTTAATATTCTTTGCAAGGTCTAGCTCAGCTTGACTTGGCTCTCTTTATTCCTGCTCTGCTTGCCCTCTAACCCATAGCTTTCATTGCTGATCAGTCCTTTTTTTCCATTCTTTATAGGCACTCTGCCCATTTCTGATGTCCTTCTAGAGGTGGCTATGCATTAGGGATGCACGAAATTTCAATGGCCGTTTTGTTTCGACAATGTTTAGACTCATTTTGAGGTTGAAACAGCAAAATCAAAATGAAACAAAGGCCATCGAAATAGCCTTGAAACAAAACAAGGCTAGTCGAAACGTTTGGACTCCCCGCCCCCCCGTGCAATCTATCGCGGGGGATGGTGAGACAGCCCAGCTGAGCTGACTTCCCACCCCTGGCTGGGGTTTCCGTGAAATGGTCAAAACAGCCTCACTGTTTCAACAAAGCGAAACAGTGAGGCTGTTTCAACTCAAAATTATATTCAGCGCAAAACACTGTTCCGTCCAGACCTTGAAAACTGAAGTTGGAATGGAACAGTGCCGTTTCGCACAGCCCTACTATGCATCCAGTTAAAACAGGAGTCCCAAGAAAGACTTTTAAAGCATAGGGAAATCCTGCTTGTGCAAATAGGCACACAGTTGCAGTGCATGAAAGGGCAAAAAATTGTTGCATGTACATGAGCCCTTTGTGACTTACAGCAATTTGAGATCTCCCCTACATTCAAGGTCTAAACTACTCAGTTTAGATGACTTCACTATCCTGTTCCCTTAGCTTATCAAAGCTTCCCCTTTTGAAATTGAGTATTTAAACTGAGTCAGCTTGTGGTCACACTTGATCCAAGGTTATTTTCTATGACTAATTCTTTTGTAATATCCTCAGTACTTACCAAAACCACATAAAAATAACTTGTTTTACTGGTCTGGTTACTGCTTGGTAAAAAATTCTGTCAGCTATTATACCCAGGAACATCTGGGCCTTACATTATTAGCATAGGAGCATTTGTTCTCCATTCTTTATCTGGGAAGTTAGCCTCCTCTCATTAGGCAGTTCCTGGTACTATTTATCTCTCCAGGAACATTACAGAGTTCTCTATTCATATCCAAATCCAACTCTGGGGCCCACCAGCAAACCTCTAGCAATACTCTAGTAGAACTTCTTTAATCATCCTTCCCCAAAGTAATTTTTACTGGAACAGAAGGTGATTGAGAGGACACTTCATTAAAGAGTAAGAGGACCTTCAAAGAAGAAAATACTGGACATGAAAGGAGCTCTTTAGCCTAACAGAGAAAACATTAACAAGAACCAGGGGCTGGAAGTTAAAGCCAAATAAACTCGAATTAAGAATTAAATACAAATGTATAACAATGAAGGTGATTAACTACTGGGAAAATAATCCTGAAGGAAGTGGTAGATTCTCCATCTCTGTGTTTTCAGGTCAAGACTGGATGCCTTTCTGGAAGATGTACTTCAGTCAAGCACAAGTTTTCAGGCTCAATTCAGGGGCAATTGGATGAAAGTGAATGATAGATACAGGAAGTCAGACTATGGCTAAGTATAGGCATTACATTTCTACCGGGAGAATTACCATTCTCCTGGTAGAACTGGCAAGCATACAAGCATTCACTTGATTTCTTCCAGGAGAAACATGCCACTTTTGGGAGAGAGATCTACCAGGTGTCAACCTGGTAGATCTCCCCTGTGAGAGAATCTGCCTTTCAAGAGTGAATGTTTGTATACTCCCTTCCCATTCTGGTCCAGGAGGGGAGTGAAGAAGCAAGGCAATGCTCCCTGTGTTCCCTCAGACTGGGGATTGTCTGGGTGTCCCCTGTCTGTGGAGAAGCAGGGAGTCTTTCCCTGCTGCTCCATTCCACTCAAGGACCAGGGACTGGGATCATCCTGGTCTTGTGAAGGTGTGAAAAGCAAGGGGAGAGGGCATGGCTGCAGACTGAATGCCAGTACTCCTCCCTCTTCTGAAAAGATTTATAGTGGTGGAAATTTTGCAGGTAGAAATAAACATTTGTTTGTGGCCTGTATGAGCTTCTGGCCTTAAATTTCATAAGGCAGTGAAATCCCGCATTAAAATATGTTTGTAGATTTTTAAATCTGGCACTGGTCTTTGATATTTTAAACAGTTTGGGCCTGACTTTCAAATGCTCTGAGCCTCTGAAATTACTCCCGACTCCAGCTCAAAATTGTTGAGTATTCAGCAAATGTGAAAATTAAATCAGTGTTCCACAATTTATTTCTTTTCCCTCCAAATTTCTCCTGTTCACCTTTAAGCTAGTCAGGTGATCTACTTTCTGGATCTGAGCAGTTAACTTCTTTTTTGAGCTCTGGGAACAAAGCTAAATTGTTAATGAACTATAGACTGTCTTGGGCTAGTGTTGATTTCAATATCTCTTTCTTTAAAGGAGTGTTTGTCCGTGTGTCTTAAACCCCCAGGAAAATTCTCCTGAGTTACAAGAAATGAGAAGAATTAACAGAGATTTTCAGGTAACCCCTGAATTCTGTTGCCTTAATTGATCCTCTCTACCTTTACCTCTTGCTTCTCTTTGACATTTTTTTTCTCATCTGCATCTGCATCATAAAACTCCAGCACATTTTTTAAAAGCACCCGAGATGATAATGAAAGGTGCCATAGAGACTGAAGACCTAGCTTACTACTTGGTCAGAGGGAACACAAGTTTCCCCATGCTGCATGACCATTTAACTTCAGCTCTGACCCCGGGCAAGGCTGTCTTAACGAGTGGCTCGCAGACCAAATCTAGCCTGTGAGGGATAAATGTGCAACCCAAGGGCTCCTACCTGGCCACCACTCCTGCCCCCTTCCCCCAGCATTGGTTCTACTGCTGTGGAATTTGGGGTCTCTGGGGTAGTGCATCATGGCAGGAAATTGCAGCCTACACAGTGTCAGCAGACCCTGGAGGGGTTGCTGATGGCACTAAGGGAGAGGGACTCACGTTGTCCATGTAGTGGTGGCAGCAGTGGGAAGGGGGAAGGCTCACTCTGACCATGCAGTGGGGAACTGCACTGGCTGTGACACAGGAGGGGGTGGTCCTTCATGGCATGCAACCTATGCAGTGTGCGGCCTGGGGCTCTGCGACCAGTGCAGTGTGCGGCCCCTGGATGTTCAAAAATTGGGCAGCCCTCATCTAAGAGAGAGACACTGGCTCATTCAGGCTCTGACTCCTCTACTTGGTCTGCCAGTGACCAGTTATGATGGTTGTTTTGTGAAATATATGTTAGTCCACTATGGATTTAACTCAGATCTGCTCAGATTTCACATAGGCCACCACATACCTATTGGGTGAAAAGAACTTTCAGTCACTGCTCTGAACATATCAGATCAAACCAGGGGTCTGTGTAGTTCAATGTTCTGCCTCCAACAGTGGGCAATGCCAAATGTTTCTGAGTACAGTGAAAGAATCTATATTAAAAAATGACAATTGGGAGAGGATACTCCCTAACACCAAGAAGGATGTTTCTTTATAGGTAGATTATTTCTTAATTTTCCATTGAGATTCTTTCTTAGTCTAAGGCATATGACTAGAAGCAGGAGAGCTTCTATAAATGTTTATGCATAAATTGTTAGTCTATCTTCTAAGAATAGCAGATATTCACATTATTCATCTTCACATTTATTCCTAGGTTTTTAAAAAATTACTACTGTTTTTGGGTGCCCAAACTGATACCTTTAGATGATCCTGATTTTTTTTTTTAAATACTGAGCCATCTTTTGAAAAATAAGCAACTTTAAGTTCTGTCTAGAAGTCTTACATTCTAATCCATTTTTTTAAAGAATCTTTCTAAACGTTAGACCACACTGGTGTCCCTTGGCACTGAGTTCAAGAGAGAATTCATGCATTGAGAATTTTTTTTTTTTTTTAACTTTTAAAAGTGTTTCACTAACATTAAGTGTGCAGATAAGTGATTCTAATCTGTTTCCACTCTCCTTCTATGGAAGGTCTTCTTGCATTCACTCACATGATTGGCTATTCTCTGGATCCATTATGCCTTTCTTCTGAATTTATACTATTGACCTGGAGAGGTGAAGTGCCCCTGGTTTATAATCAGTTCTTAATAGGCTAAGATGAATCTTACAAATGACCTTTTGTTTTGCATCTCCTGTTCTGTACAGTTGAAAAGCATGCTGATGGTCAACAGCGGCCGTTACGAACAGCGGGAAGATTTCACTGTAGTGGTGCAACCGTTTTTCCGAAATACCATGATGCCATTAAACATTGTAAGTCTCATTGTATTTCCTATAACTTTGGAAGTCAACATCACCACTTATTGTCAGCTATAAGAACTCTGGGGCTGTCTTTGTTTGTTTGTTTTTCTATTGCCACCTGCTAGTCCATTGTGGGTACCATAATAAGTCCAAAGGTTAAGGTAGGAAGAAGGGTGTTACATATAAGGCAACTGAAATCTGCAAGCAACATAGTTTTCTGTGTTACAGTGTGGTAGCCAGCTGTGAATGCCCTGCCTTCTACTTGCCTTGTTCATCAGAGTCCACATGGTACAAGGCAGTGCTGTGCAGGGATGCCCCAGGTAGCTGTGCATGTGCTATCTCAGAGCTGTCCAACTGGTGGCCCATGGGTTGCATATGACCTACAAGGGGTTAACCTGTGACACCCCCACCCCAGGATCGCACCCAACTGCCACTCCCCCTGTCTCCTGGTTGCAGCAGGGGGCAGTGGGGCATTCTGGAGCCTGCAGCTGGTGACCTGGGGCGCTGCCTGTGTGTGCTCAGGGGAGCAGCTGCTTGGGTGTGTGGTGGATGAGGGGGGTTGCCTGCTCACTCAGCTGAGCAGTGGAGCACTGTGGGGAAGGGGGGCTTGCCCACCTGTGTGTATGGTGGAGTGATGGGGGATGCTGACTATGCATGCACTGGAGCAGGAAGGGGGCTGCCTTGTATGTGCCATGCAGCAGTGGTGGGCAGAGCTGCCCACATATGGCATGCAGGGGGTGCATGGGGCACTGCCCAGGGGAAGGCACTTGGCTCTCACTATTGCAGCCTGTGTGAGGTTCTGGCCCTCCTTGGTGTGGTCCACACTGGGGCAGCCCCCAGTCACTGAGCAGCTGGATAGCCCCTGATAGCTTTAGAACTGGAAGCCCTGTAGCTATGTTGGTATGGCACTGTGCCAAGAGTAATAAGCATTGCTTGGGGCTTTTATGACTTAATGTAATCAGAACAAGTATATGTAGAGCCAGCCTCAGTTTCTCTGCATGGCACTGCCTTGTGCCACACAGACATTCCCAAAGTGACTTCTGGAAGCACGGAGCTGGGCAGGCTTTGATTGAAACCACTCTGTGAAGTTAAAGGGCAGTTCTCCTGGTCTCTTTGTATCTTGGAAGTAATGCAATTACTTAGTAATGCAAGAACTCAGCATAGAAACACAGCCAAAACAACCCAGTTTTGCATAGTATCCCTCCACCAAACTCCAGGATGTGTTAAGAAGTGAATATGGGTTCTGGTAAAAAGCACTGTGAGAGATGTGGATGTGTTAAATCTGCATGTGTGAATCTAAAGTTACTTTCTGTTGAATCTGCTCATGTCAATGTATGTATAGTTTTATTTTAAGTTTACTATATATACGTTGCCTGCCAATCTGGCAGTAC